AAAAAAGATGAGTTCCGAACATATTGTTTTGCCTGGCAAGAGTAGCAGATCAGGAGGCAGTTGATACCATGTTTTGGTTTGCCTATTGAATGTCAAACAAAAGATGGTCACTGGTTCTAGTGCAAATTTGACGAATTTCAGAGCAGTGGACTACCAGGGGTATAACTGAAGAGAGAGAGAGATAAATTTACAATTTCACTCTTGTTACACAGATTGCAAAATTGTTACACAGATTGCACTGAGAGAAAATCATCTAAATCTAAATACTTCTGAAAAGGCCCACCTTTTATTATTATCACATTGGGGCTTAGGGCTTCAGTGTATGAATATGAAGGAGGTGACACAGTGGCACAGTACTTCAGTGCATTATGGAAAACTGCTCAGATAAGTTCCTTTTGGATTGTGGGTAAAAGAGATACAAATCTCCCTCTGTGGAGGAAAAGAATATACTTTGATCTATTTCCAATGCTGCTGAATAAAGTCTGCAAACCACGTTTTCTATGCACATTTTCTCTAAGGAATTTCTTAAAAATGAGAATAAAAATCCAATGTGAAGCCACTACCTTAGTATTTTCTGTATGTTTTGTAGCCCTGGGAGTGAGACATAGCTTCTAACTTATCCTTTATGTTGGAACTTGTCTTTAATTGGAAGAACTACATTTCACTCCAATAAAAAGAGCATTTTATCAGTAGGCTTTTTTTGTCTTTTTCCTTTTTATTGGTACCGGAGATCGAACTCACGACTGCCTACTTGCAAGGCAGGGGCTTATGCCGCTGAGCTAGATCTCCAGCCCCCAAAAGAGCATTTTAATTAGATTATCTTAAGTCTAGCTTGAAAAACTTTCAATGAGTGTTATATTTTGTGAAGATTACAACTAATGTAAACAAAGATTGTTTGGATGCAGATAGATCTGGGTGGATAGAAAGACTTGTGCCTTGATCCCAGTCCTGGGAGGATGAATTGCAAACAACTGGAAAATAGAACTCTACACTCGAAAATGTGCTCTTTTGGGGAAAATTTACAGCTTTTCTTAGTAGGGAGGTTTTTTTTTTTTTTTTTTTTTTTTTTTTATTCAGTGCCATTTGAGTGAGAGCAGCCTATGTACTCTAACATCTGAGTTTTAGGGAAAAAGCTGCTAGTACTTGTTGCCCCCATCCATGTGGGAATTAACTCAGAAAAAAAATAAAGAAAACTAAGTAGATATTGATGACAGAAGCAGGTAGACACTGGCTAAGACTCAGTGCACTCATGATGACAGTGCTTCAATGTGGCTTTGAGCTACCAGCTCCCTGACCTGTGCAGAATTCCAATGGACTAATTCATAGATTCCTCTCATCACATAGCATGAAAGTACTACTGTCTAGGGAGATCCAGTGCAAGGAGGAACTGCTTTTAACTTTATAGTGAGTCCTCGTTTTTAAGTGGCTCAATATAGTCCCTTTTACTCCATGGAAATAAGATTCAAAGGGAAAAAGAACAACATTCAGATTGTACTGAGTGAATTTCTATCACCATAGAGACTTCACATGAGTTAAACATATAAATTAAATGGTGTGTATGGGGGTAATTTTCCAGTAGATATGATTTTTTCTTGTATCTCCCTAACTCTATTCAAAGTTCATCCTGAAATTATGCTAGTTGATACAAAATCAGTACTAGTTTTTCTTACTCTATTATGGGACAGAGATGCACTGGTTGGACCACAAGACAGAGGGGACAGAGAAACAGGTAAGGGAAAGACTGATTTAAGTGCCTTCTCTTTTTTTCTTTTGTTATTTTAGAGATTAAGACAAAAGAGGACATAACAGAGCATATCAGAACAGAACAATGTAAGCAACACAGTATCTCACCACACGACAACCCATAATTAACAGTAGCTACCATAATGTCTCTTTCTTTGAAATAGTTGAGCATAACTTCATATGCAATAGTATCAAAGGTAGAAAAAATAGTATAAAACGATTCAAGAGAATGAAAGTATTACAGGGCATTCAGAACCAAATAACAGAGAATGAACAATGGCTCCTATATTATCTCATTTTCCATAGAAAATATGTTTATACTATTGCACATAATAAAATCCAATAAGATACAATATGATAGAACCAATGGAAATAGAAGAAAAAAAGCATGGAAGGACTTCAGAATAAGGTGATATTAAATCAGTAATGGCTATTATGTCTTCTTTCTTAAGTGGGATGCCATCTGCTATGTAGGCCTCAGTCACCATTAAGAAGCATTTCGTTTTCTATGTGACTTAATTTCAGATCTGCAGATTTTTGGTTCTGTAAACAAGGTAAACTCCCAGAGCAGTCTGGGAATATCAAGATGAAAAATTTAAAAGCATGAGTCAACAAAGCAGCTATAAGCTCCAGGTGGGAGTAGCAGACGTCTTCTTTACAGAAATCACATTAACACAATTTTTTTTCAAATCCCTTGCTTAACTTTCAAGATTTAAGACCTCAAATTGAGACTATTTTTATTCCCACTTTTTAGCAATACCCCAAACTTTGACTGATTTCCTGGGTGCACAATGGAACATATAATTGCTTAAAGCATACGATTTGTTTCTGTGGAAACCATCTCATCTGACTGTCTTGTTCTCAACTCCAAAACATCTTGAACGTCTTGGGAGAGTATCACTCAATATCTCCACTAACCAAACACCCTAAAGTTTCTCTCTTACCAGAATATCTCTGATGGCAGTGAATAATTGTTAACACCAGTGATTTATAGGGCTTTGCCATGGAATTTCACAGCTGATTAGTTCTATTTACTAAAAAAAAGGAACCATGAGAGTGTTTGCAGAATTGAAAAATGATAGAGGCTAACCGAAAGACCAGGTATCAAAACAATAATGTGCAATACAAGAGAGATATAGTGTGTATACATATGAATTTGCATTCTTTGTACGATTTCTCACTTAAGGAGAGCCAATAGTCTAGTAAAAGGACATTATTTGTGGAATAGGTAATACATATATAAGCCAAAGATTAAACATATAAAAGGGTTCCAGTGGTGGCTTTGACCAGACACAAGAAGTGAATGTACAACCATTTGCCTAGCCTAAAAAGGTTCACCTGTTTTTGGCACAGTAGAAAGACTCTTCCAAAGGTCCTCACCATTAGTGATTTCTGACTTCTTTGTACTCTTCATGATGGGGAATCATAGGTCATGGGAGCCTGTGTTTTGAAGATTATACAAAATTGACATAGTTTGAATATAATTGGAACAATTCTAGGAATTCCTTAGAAGTTAAAGTGAGTACCCAAAGAACTGTGGCAAAAATGAAGCAGGTACTCAAAAATCGATTGATTGATTGATTGATTTTGTATTTAAACATGAGTGTGTGGTTTCTTTTGCTTAAAGCCAGGTGTGGTGGTGCACTCCTGTAATGCCAGTACTCTGGAGGCTGAGGCATGAAGATCCTTGCAAGTTAGAGACTAGCCTGAACAAAGAAGTGAGACCAAGGCCAGCATGAACTGCATAGTGAGACCCTGTCTCAAAGACTATATATATATATATATATATATATATATATATATGCTCTTGAAGTATACCCTTTTAACTAAAAAAATTGTCAAGGTAATATTTATAGGAAAGTAGTTATCCACTCTACATAAATCCATATTTCCTTGTTATTTGTAAAGAAGAAAAAATGTAAACAACATTTGAAAACAAAATAGGAGAGTAACAATAATTAATAAGTTGTGAACAGTTATCAAAGCTGATAATCAAGTCACAAGATATAGGCATGATTTCTTGTCTAAACAATATTAGCTGAGGCATTCTTTTCAAAATTTTTAGAGAAACTGACAGTGTACATATCTTCACAATCTTGTATATATACATTTTTTCCCCTTTGTCCCTTTCTTCCTCATCATCAGCTTTACTTTTCTGATAGCTAAATCTTGGAAACAACCCAAAAGCCCAGCAACTGAGGAATGCATAAAACAGATGTGGTTGTTTTATGTACTGAAGTATAACTCACCCATAAAGAAGGATGAACTTGAGACTTTTATATGTAAATGGATGCAAGTAGAGACCATACTCTCAAGAGAAATAAATCTGACCCAAACATGTAATAGGGTCACTATTATATAGTGTCACTAGTTTGAGAAGTTGAACAAGTTAATAGGACCCAATATATCAATAAATAGTGTGATTTGGGAAGAAACCGGTAAAAACAAAATCATGCATTCTTAGGCACAGTGGGAGAATATAGGAAGGTAAGGTGGTTGTCACATGTTCTCAGAGAGTCTAGGCAAGGGCAGAAACATCACAGAGTGCCCAGGGAAAGGAAGGCATCGGAGTAAAATGAGTGGTGGAAGGACAGCCTTGATTGAGTGGGCATCAGGGAATGGAAGCTTGATCCATATACTGAGCGTTCCATGCCTAAGGTAAAGATGTCAGGCTGATTCTCTTTGTCACTGCTTCATAGGAAATCTAAAACTCATGAACATATTTAGTGTGTGGATTTGAGTACCATATAGCAGAGACATTAACAGGCAGTCCCTGGAGATCAGAAAATTTCTCAGGATGAGAAGTGCTTACCTTAGCAGCCCATGAGAGAGAGGGCTGGCTCCGCATAACTCTCGATGGGGCAGAGCCCATCACATGATGTTTGCCGTAGATTCTCTTCAACTCTTCGCTATGGACTGTGGAACACAGAATGTTACTTTTCTGAGATTGAGAAATCAAATTCTCAGAAGCAAATTTGAGAAGTTAGCGATAAGTGTAACAGTAAACTCAGAGAACCCAGTATCACACACAAAGGTCCCCAATACAAAGCCCTTTTATGACTCCAGGATACTAGTGAAAGGGACATCATGGTGTAGCCCAAACTCACTCTGTCTCCCCGTAAAAGGACACACTTCCTAAAGCAGGTCCATTGTCCATCGTGCACCATTCTCACAGCAACCTGCAGAAGCAGCCTGGGTTAAAGCATGGGAGAGATCTCTGTGAAGATGCTCACACAATCTTGTTTTCCCTCCTCCAGGTGCCTGCAGCACAATCCATCGTCCCCACACTCCTCCCTCTTGGGCCTAAGTAGATTCATCATGCCTCGTGGTCACAAAAGCAAACAACGTGCTCGTCAAAAACGCCCACAGGGCAGAGGTGATAAGCACGCTGGTGAGGTGGCACAGGAAGGAGTAGCACCCACAGCAGAAGCAGCAGCAGCAGAAGTAGAAGCCCCACCTGCAGAGGTAGCAGAAGCAGCGACACCAGAACAAGGAGTAGGAGCAGAAGCAGCAGAAGTAGAAGCTGTAGCTGAAGCAGCAGCAGTGGAAGCAGCAACACCAGAACCAGCAGCAAAAGCAGAAGCAGCTGCAGCAGCTGCAGGAGGAAAACAAGAAGAGGAAAAGCAGTCTACTTTTTCCCAGGGCCCATGTGGTGCTACTTCCTGTAGCCCTCGCCTGAAACCTAGGAGGAAAACACCATCTCCTGCTGCTCCCTCTGCTGATGGTTCTGGTGTCAGTTCTGACAACACTTGTAAGAATGATGAGCGCATTTCTGAGGCCAGTCACTGCCCTGACTATATGGCCAAAGACACGGAGTGCCCGATTGAGGCCTTGGAGTGGTTCATACTCAACAAATTTCATTTGAAGCAGCCCTTTACAAGGTTAGAGATGGTGTTGTCAGTCAATCGAAAGTACAGAATCGAATTTCCTGAGATTTTCAACAGTGCCCGCGAGCATCTGGAGATGATCTTTGCAGTGGAAATGAGAGAAGTTGAGTCCACCCGTCACTCCTACAACCTTTTCAGCATGCTGAACCTCCCCAACAATGGCAGGGTTCACCCTGGCAGGGGCTACCCTAAGACCGGGCTGCTGATGAAAATCCTCGCTCTGATCCTCATGAAAGGCCACCGCGCTTCTGAGGAAGACATCTGGAAATTCCTGAGAAGGATGCAAGTGTATCCCGACATGAAGCACATCTTTTTTGGAAATGTCAATAGGCTCCTGAACCGCGATTTTGTGAGACTGAAATACCTGGAGTACCGGCAGGTGCCTGGCCGTCTTCTTCCACGCCGCGAGTTCCTGTGGGGCCCCCAAGCCCATGCCGAGACCAGCAAGGAGAAAATCATGCAGTTTTTGATCAGGATCCATAACATGTGTCCTATGTACTTCTCGTATCTTTATGAAGACCTTGGAAAAGAGGAGATAGAAAAATTTCAAGCTTCACTTTCTGCCAAGCATGTCTCTACTGGCAAACCTAGGGCAGTTTCTCCAGCAACACAACCTGCTGCTCCTGCCAAGCCCATTGATGTCTGAGGCTTCAGATCATCCAATATAAGAAAGTCAGCTTTACTATAGGAAATTTTCCTGCAAAAGTTAAAGAACCCTACAGTAGTGGGTGCTGCCACATAGAAAACTTTTACGACATGTTCATTTTTTGCTTTTCTCATTCCTTTATATAATTCAATGCTTTAAACTGTTTGTTTGTGCATTTCTGGAAGTTGTGCTTAAATCGATATCAGTTTGCCCTCATACTCCTTTAGCATAATTTAGCACATATTAATTGATTGCATTCCCTTTGTCAAGCTTTGTTGTACTGCACTGGTACTTACATGATGAAGACCCAGTCTATGATGCTAGAAATTTTGAGCCTAAGTTCCACAAATTTATAGGAAATTAGTTGAACTTGCTTTTTTTTTTTTTTTTTTTTTTTTTTTACTTTTATGTACCTTAATAGAAATGAATGGGATGAGATGGTCATTGAGAACAATGACGTGAAATTTCCTAAGGAAGCAGTGTATAATGTTGGAAACTGCAGGTTTGGGCCTGGATATAATTATCTTTTAACTTTGGGGTGGGCTAAAGATGGAAGTGCTGAGTTAATTTCTTGACACTCCATGTTGAGAGTCAGGATTTTGATGCCCATTTCTGTAAATCAGTCAACTAGGGCAAAACACTGTAGACTGGAAAAAAAAAAAAAGATTAGTCACAATTCGTGTTTAGAAAATAGAACATTAGAATAGAGAATTTTCTTAGAAATGATATAGATGTATATGGAGTGATATAGTAGACAAAAATTTGAAGCATGATAAAGCCTTCAATTCTCTTAGTGCATTTACTCTTTATCATTTTAAATAACTGAATGTTTTATATGTGATGTTAACCTTTTCTGGATGCAAAAATAAAATTTTTATGAATTAAATTTTATATTTCATGAGAGTTATTCAGCACACATTAATCATGCGCTGGAATTTTGTCATGATATATGGGAGTACCTGGATGGTGAACTAAAGAAGTCTTGGCTTCTCCATTCAGAATTTTTGAAATCAGAGCTGCAATGAGAATGGCAGGGGATTAGACTACCTTGTGGACATTTAACTAAGCTATAGCACACAACCTTAAACTTCACCCATTTCCACCAAACCCTCACCTTCTAATACCTCCATATTAGCTATTAGTGCTTCACCTTATGATATTTGTAGGTGTCATAAGAAAGTAGAAATATTCAATGAATAATGAAAAAGTGAAAGGAACGATATCTTTTGTTTTCTTTACTCTCATGAATATGGAGAAATGTGAGAGAGAGGGACAGAGAGCTGGAAAGAAATGGTGAAGGGTAAAGGGAAGCAGGAGATGGTGGGGGGAGAAGATGAGAAACAAAGGGTGAGAGGGTCAGAGAGTGGGAAAAAGGGAAGCTGAGAGGCAAAGATAGGAGGCATAGGAGTAGGACGTGGGGAGGGCAAATGGGAGGGAAGAGAAATATGGACAGATGGTTAGAGACATAGGAAGAGAGAGAGGGATGGAGAGAGAGAGAGAGAGAGAGAGATGGAGAGAGAGAGAGAGAGACAGAGAGAGAGAGACAGAGAGAGAGAGAGAGATTGCCTCACCCATCAGGAATAAAAATCACAATATGGGAACACATTCTCATAATCCAATATCCAATTCCCAAAAGTTGCAGCATCAGATACCATAAAAGGAGAATGAGAATGAACTCTTTAGCATATGGATTTGGACAGAGATGATCAAAGGAAAGGAGCATTCTGGACATTCCAGAAAACTGCTGGGAGTAACCTTAGCACAGTGGGTAAGGAATAGGCAAACCTGTACCTGAGCAGGAAAGCAGGGTGTCTTGAACTCTGTGTTCAGTGATGCTGAATGCATTGGATTCACCAGGTGTTTTTTGAACATTTTTTTCCACAGTGTTTTAGGGAGCTCAAGGACACAATCCCTTCATGGTTTCTCTATTCTATATTCGGGGGGCATAAAAAACTTGTGCCTTGACAGCAATTATGGAAGACTTGGTTGCCGCCAGGTTGAGAGGGCCATTGTATACTGAAAGATGAGCAATTTTAAAGAGTAGGTGTGATTGCCTTACACTTATGCTTCTTTTTATACAATAGTATCGCTTCTATTTTATAATTATTGTGAATTTAAAATTTACAAATCACAATGCTAGATAATTTTATCTGGGATCAAAATAATATTATTAACTCTTGTCAATCTCTAAATGTCAGAAACCTTTTCTACTCTTGACTATCTATGTTGTACAGGTCATTCATGTCTCATTACAAATATGGCTTCCTAAATTCAAATGGGAAGGGATCAAATTAAGATTACGCTAAGTTTAGACAACACTTTTAGGTACACCTGGAGCCCCATCTACAATTTTGTCCCACCCAATTTGTAGCACTAATGCCACTGGATGCACTCTTCCCCTTTAATTCATTTTTTCCTCAGAATTATGAAATGAATCTCAGTTGATATAAAAGCTTGTGCAGTCAAACAAAAGAAACAGAGAATCAAGATTACATAAAGAGGAAAAATGGTAATTGTTTTGACTTCACTTTTATTCAGCCTGTGTTCCCTTAAACCTAACATTACTCCTGTGCTGATGACTTATGCAAATAGAGTCCTTTCCAGGACTGGAACCCTTTTTCACTGAGTGTTTTCTTCTATAAGCTTCTATTCTGGAACGTGGCCTGTCCAGCTCTTCCCTGTATTGTGCTCAGAAGGCTATGCTATGCTCTCAGTGAAAAGGACAGCTCCTATGGCCTCTGAATTGAACCTTCTATCTCCCAGGGGACCAGGTTCTCCAGCCTGGATGCAAGGCATCTTCATGTTCTTTCTCATGAGACAAAGAGGAGATTGATTCTTCTCAGCCTTTCCCTTCTTCATTCTATTTTATCTTTTTCTTCTAACATTATAGTTATTAGTTTTACCAAATGTTTTAAATATATTCACAGCATGTTTATGTCAGTTATTTTTCAGAAGCCCTGGAGTTTATGGATTTGCATAATAGTCACAAGGATATCATTAAGTAGGAGGCCTAACGTTCTTCCATGCAGAAATTATATAGTTTTTTTTCCTATCATGACTCAAGCAACTTAAGACACAACCCAGAAGAAAAGGCAGGAAATCTGTCTGATTTCTGTATCTAGGTCTACATAATGAGATAGAGATATTTCTGTAACCCATACCTTCTAAGAAGACATATTTTTTTTTAATTTCATGTTTGAATTACTTATAGGATAATGGCATGATTTACAAAAAACCAAAATGGATCCAAGAATTAAATATTAAAACAGAAACACTAAATCTGCAGGAAGAAAAAGTAGGTAAAAATGTTGAAGACATAGGAGTGAGCAAGGAATCCTTAACCAAAAATCAAACTACTCGGAAAACACTTCCTAGAATTAATAAATGGGATGTTGTCTTATTGAATAGTTTTAACATGTGAAATAAAATCTTCAAAATACTGAAAGGAAAACCAACAAATTGGGGAAAATCTTAGTCAACTACTCTTAAGGCAAAGGAATTCTACCTAGAATATATTAAAAAAAAAAAAAAAACAGATCCCCAAAGTTCAAATACCCAATCCAAAAATGGACATTTGAGATAAATATATACTTCTCAGATAAAGAAACACAAATAGAAAAAAAAAAAAACACATGAAAAAAATGTTCAGAATCATTGCCATTGAGAAGTGCAAATTAACACCACATTGAGATTCCATCTCACTACAGAAACAATGTTCAAGATCAAGCATCCATCAAGAATAAATGTTCAAGAGGTGATGGGGAAAAATGGAAGTCTTCTGCACTGTTCGTGGAAGTGTAGACTAGGGCAACCACTTTGAACATTTTTCTGGAGGTTCCTCAGAAACTGCAACTGGAAGTCCCATTTGACCAGGCTATTCCACCTCTGGGCATATTCTCAGAAAAAATAAAAACAGCATGCCACAGTGATATATGTGCATGTGTGTTTATAGCAGCCCAATTTGTAATAGGTATATATTGGAAACAAAAACAACAACAACAACAACAACAACAACAACAACAACAACAAAAACAATGCAAAGGTCACTCACTAATAGAGTATGTACTTTTGTGATAACCCTATTTAAATGTCTGCAAAACTGTGTGGAATGAAATTTTAAGCATCTAAAATTTTTAACTGATCACAGCTTATTATTTTTCAGGTTACAAGAGGCCTAAGTTAGTCAAGAAAGAGTCTGATTAAAGAGAAACACTATGGCCCCAAGAGTAAGATAGCACCTTAATGAAATTTTTGGTATGTGTAAGGGAGCCACCAATGGTTCCAGTTTCTAGGCTTCAATTACCAATAACTTTGACTTTCACAGTACAAACAAGTGTTTTCCACCCTCCCTCCATAAACACAGCAAAAAGAAAGAAAAGTAGAGTTAAGATGACTGCAGAGGCAGGCAGAGTCTGGCTAAGACTCCTCACACTCACTCTCTCCTATTTTCTAATGTGGCACTGAGCTCCAGGGCTCTGGCCTGCCTGGAGGTACAGGGGCTTTCTTCAGCTTGCTCTCCAAGCACTGCATTGAATCAGTGCTTCCTAAGGAGACTGTCATCAACACTGACTCCTACCAAAAGTGGCACTTTCTTGATTCATAATTTTTGGAAAACAATTTTCCTCTTACAGTATGAGACCATGATTTCCATGAATTAAAACCCCATTTTGAGTAAAAATACATTCAACCTGCATTGTTACCGATATGGCCAGAGTTTCTAGTGATGTTTAAGTGTTTTCCACCAGGCTATCCCTCTTACACTCTGAGATTAGAGTCTGTATGTCTAACAACTCAATATATGAATAAAAAAACATTTAGGGGCTACTGAATGTTTCTATATCACTATGAAGACCTTGTTTAAATTGAATGATGAGGAAGAATTCTGTGTTGGATAGAGCTTTTCTGCTGCTTCCCTAATTGCCTTCAAAACTCACTCTGAATTCTTAGCTCACAAAAAGGCAACATGAATCATTACTGTTCTTCTAGGGGACAGGACAGCA